AGGTGACAACGGACTCAGGGGGGGTGAGGCAGTGGCCCCTGGGACATTCTGGTGACACATACCACAGAGCAGAATGAGGAAAGCACCATGGAGTATGTCGGGTGAGGTCCAGGCTGTGCCTGAGGAGGGACACTGTGATCTGCACAGAGATAACGTGCATCTGCACTACTGTAAAAGCTTCTGTGTGCAAAGGAAAGGACAGTCTGTTCCTGTGCACGGTGCCTGTCCAAAAGCACAGAGAAGACACTGACCAGGCTGGTGGACCACTTGGGAATAGGGGCCTGAGGAGGCAGAAGAAGAAAGGCCCCACACCCAGCTCAGGATTCTGTGGCACAGGCCATAGAACCTGACAGCAACCTTGAGGGGCGATCCAAAGTTTAGCTGGGCTGGCGTCATGGTGGGAGGCCATGGGCACCTGGATCCCACACTTGCCTGATGGCCCTGCGCTGACCCTCCTCCACCCCTTGTGTCATCTGGTGTCTGTGGCCTCTGTCACAGAGATGACCGCGGCCTCCTTGAGGCCCCTTCCCCTGAAAAAAAAATCCCAGCTCTGGCCTGGCACAGGCTGGACGCAATGCACAACTGGCCTGTGTGGGCGGCAAAGCTGGCCAAGGACACTGCCCAAACGGTTTGCAAGTCACTGTCTGAGTTCTTCACCCACACACACAAAACTACACAGGGAAGACAACAGTGGGCTTAAGAGTTACTGAAGCCAGAAATGGCTGTTCAACCCAACTGAAGCCATGTCCACTTGTGTTTTTTTTTTTTTTTGGCTGACGAAGTCCACTGCTGAGGGGAGCAGCAGGCGGGTGAGGGGAGGCCTGCCGCTCCCTGGGGGCCAGCTCCAGGCGGGAATCAGAATCCGGTGGAAGTGGCTTTAGCTGTTTAGTGCTGTGCTTTGCCCCGCTGCGCCGCCAGGGGGCGGCCATGTCCGGCTTGTACGTCCCAAACAGAAGCAGCTTAGACGGCGCCTTTCCGGGGGGCTGGGATTCACCCCAAATGCTGCAGATCCCAAGCCCCTGAATCCTGAACACTGGATCGGCGCCCCTTCGGCAGCCCCTTGTTTCACTTACTGGTGGCGCCACCCCCAGACGCGAGCCGGTTTAGCACCTTCCCGGGGGCTGTCTGTGCTCACCCGCAGCCCCGCGGGCCGGTGGCTTCAGCCACACGCTGCCCCTCGAACCCGACAGAGCAGGCCATCGGGGCTACCCTGCTCCACGCGGGGAGACCTGCCCTGAAACCATCGAGGGGCGACCGGCGACGCAGCTACAGCCCAGGAGGCGCGTCCGCCCTAGCCCGTGGTGAAAGTGTCCGTTCCGCGGGAAGGACCCTGGTGCCCGCAGCGGCCGAGCCCGGCCCCGACAGACCGGGTGGGGTGGGCCCACGCCGGAGGACGTGTATGGGCACCCAGGGGCATCCCAGCCCCACCGGCGCCCACGTGTGCACACGGCAGCTGCACCACACGGGAACGTGTCTGGTCAGGCGTCAGCCCACGCACAGACCACCAAGGGCGCGGAAGGCAGCAGGCAGGTCACAGGCTAAGGATGTGCACCAGGGGAGGGCGGGCGCCGCCGGTGGGGCGCAGCGCCCCATCCCCAGGGGCCAGGAGCCTGCCGGGGAGGCGACGCCGGCCAGCCCCTGGGCCAGTTCTCTCTGGGCCCGGGAGAGCTTGGCCTGACCCCGGCAGGCCGCCCCGCCGCGTCTCCCGACTCTGCTCCAGCTGCGGAGGTGAGCCCTGGCACCAGGGCCTGAGACCCCCGAGGTCTCAGGTCTCGTCACAGCACGCCCATATTTGCAAGCTGGACACGGGAGCCGTGGCCAAAGCCCATGCTCACCCCCCACCTGCGTTCTTGGCAAGGTGCCCTCCTGACGAGCCCCACACCCCTGGGGGCAAGATCTGATGTCCCAGGCCGCCCAGTGCCCAGGCTGCCCTGACCTGAAAACACACGAGATGTCCCACCCGCGAGCTCCCCGGGCTGGACACCTGCCATCTGGGCGAGCCCTGGACCCTGGGGCTGGTCCCGCAAGACGGTTCGGCCAGACTCCGCCGCGGGCCGAGATCACCGAGAGCCGCAGACCCGTGGACTCACTGGGGCCCAGCAGTCCGCGTCCAGCCCAGGGGCAGCGCCGAAGTGCCCCCTGGGGCTCAGGGCGGACTGCCCTGGTTCCGGCAGCCCGTGGACAAGCGGGTCTGAACCGGCCTGAAACACACTGGACTGCGTGGATTCTGTCCCCGTCTGTCCATCCTGGGGCCTCGCAAAGATCACGCGCCCCCACGGGGCCCACGCGACTGGCGCAGGCATCCGGGGGCTTCCGCGGCAGCCACGCAGGGTCTCGGCGGCGACCACACGGGCTGCGGGGACCCGCCCC